TTTGATAAAAATATTATATTTAAAAAAAAATATCTTTAAAGTTTGTTTCAAATAAAAAAAAAAACTGAAAAAGGGAGTCTTCTGTGGCACTCTAAGGTAAATACCTTCGAAACAAAAACAAAAAAAGAGCAATCTAATGGGAAGCAGGTTTTGCAACCTGGAATTTGTTTCTTTCCACTTCTGACAGTTACTTTATGCTTACTAGCAAATTGTATCCTAAGAAAATGTAGACATAATTGTATAAAAAGTAGCAACCTATATCGAAATATTAGCTTAATTAAATTCAAATAAATTTGATAGAGTTTGATCTAAAACATGACTGTAAGAAATCTTACAATTATTATTACACGTGAGCAGTAAAATCTGGAAGACAAAGATGAAAAACACACACACATGAAAAAAGTCATTCAATACATAAAACGGATACAGATATGCGCCTTTGGTGGTCCATCTGTAAAGCGTTGGCACAGACGAAGAAGACATGTTGCAAAACACTTAGATAAACTATATTGCTAATGACTGCAGTGTTTAAAAGCAAGCTAATCGTCGGAACGAACACGACGGTGCGAGAATAAATTGAACGTTTTCAAAGCTAAACTCGGAGTCGGTTGCACCTTCTCTTCCCTCCTCAATGTTGAATGCGCTACAAATTGAGACCCGGACATGATGATCGACTCCGAGCGCCTGGCCATTTAGTGGAAAGTTCTTCGCGGCCCGGGGCACGGCAACGGCTTGGCTTTTTTTTGAGTAAACATGCAATAGACGCATCTTCCACTTTCACAGCCTCTGCATCTGCGGCGCCTCCTCCACTGTCTCTGTTCTGTTGCATCCAGCACCGGCATCTCCCAGCAATGGTACCCGACCACCTCACTCGCCCCACCGCCTCGGCAAGCGAACATTCATTTACGTTTACACACTGTTCACAACAAAGCATGTTGCTAGCTGACCGCGGTCTCATCGTTGCTACGTCAGGCATTTGCTCTCCGCTCGGTTCCTCATTTTTGTGGATGTTGCATCGACACTGCAGTCGGCCGGCATTCCTCCTTGAGTAGAAGGCTGCACACTCCGAGCTGATCGAGCCGGACGTACAGCACGACCAGGTAGATTTCCTTCATGTCCGCCGCTTTATTTGCAGGTATAGTTACCTCAGCGTCAACTATCCTGCTCGGAGTCGGTCGCACCATCTCTTCCGTCCTCAACATCATACGCGCTAGACACACTTCAGGTGAAGAGAACAAATACTCAGATCAAACAGGTGTGGATGTCCAAAATTGTGTTTTTTGTTTTGTTTTTCATTCTAACTGAAGACCAATGTGATGATTTCGCGATTAAAATGAATACTTACGAAACACCCAAGTTCCAGGGTAAGTGCTCACTGCAAATTCACGGCTGCGACATATATTTATTTAAAAGTGCACCAAGGATGCCACCTGCAGGTTTGGCAGCAATACCGAGATTACAATGCTTGTCACCCTCTTAACACAGAAAGGTTGTCCGTTATAAAATACGAAAAGAAAAGAATACCGGAAACAACGCAAGGTACAAATCTGCACAACAGGCTTCCGGATCCAACTTCTTCGCTGTGCTGGAGTTTGTTGCTGTAATAACAGCTTTGCATGGGTTGTGAGGCCAGTAGTAACACTGAACAGGGTGCCTTGGTGACTTCCACCAGTGTTGCGGAGTTGCCACTCCGGAGTTGGAATTATTCCGAAATGATTTCACCCTTCCACGAGCCTGGAATTGAGGGGAAACAGAATGGCGGCAGCAGTGGCATAGCCAGGGGGAGGCTTATGGGGTTTCAACCCCCCCCTTTTCCCGCAATCCAGCCGACCTTATTATATACGCATGCATTTTGACCCCCCTCCCCCTCTACACCTCCCAGTCATGGACAACCCAGGACTTTTCCACTTCCTTTTCGGATTTTGGGTTGAATTAATTTTGAATTCTTGCACCATTGATACTGTATTTTGTACAGCCTAAATAAAGAGAGCCTGAAAAACAAAATACAGCCCAGTACATCAGATACACAGATAAAAACAGATATTAGTATACGCTTCTTTTAGTGAACACATCTAGGGTCTTTGTTGCGTACAGACAGCACTGTGAAGAAGTCCAACATTCTTATGTTAAAATAAGTTTCCTACTAGTGCCAGAATTTTCAAACTTTTTTAAAAGTTGTTTTAAATGTACAATAAACACAATAAATACAAGGTCAATCTGTAAAAACTCCCCAAGATGCGAACCTTTTGTCAAGCAACTGAATTTTAAAGTGACGCCCTTGAAACCCCACTGACGGTCGCTGCTCTGCCAGCAGCAATGAACACAAACTAGACAAAGGGAGCTGAGGCCACATGACGTAAAACACTGTGCCTGAGATGCGCCAAGGACGGCATTGCAGGTAGTTGCACTTGTTTGTCCTTATTTTTTTGTCTAGTCTGTTAATTGACAGCAATCTACGGTGCTTGATAGGGAAACTTTGTGCTGTAGATATGAAAACAACCCTATCATGGCCTCCCTGATTTAAATATGGGAGGCAAGACAACTCAAAACAGATTTGAGAGGAGCTGTGTAGAACAAACTTGTTTGTACACTCAATTGACACAATCTTTCATACTAAAAGGGACGCTTAACCGAAATTTGGAACTCACAAAACAATGGTGAGCGACAAGCGGTACGCTGCAAAACCCCAAAACAACTCGTACAGCGATATCTCTAATGAATGACAGTAGTTTTGGAAAAAAAAAAAAGTGCGCGATTAAACGAAGCCGACGAGGTCGACGAGACATCTTACGCCGTCGGATTCGTCGGCCTAACGCCAAATGTTTTTTTTTTTTTTTATAATACAAAATTGTCTAGTGCAGTTTTTCTTTCTATGATTTTTAAGCAGTCCCGTCTTACTGGCGTACTTCCAGAAGACTGGAAAATTGCCAAGGTAGTCCCCCTGCACAAATCTGGCTATAAACACTGTTTTAGCAATTATAGACCCACTTCCTTGATTAGCTCTCCCCGCAAACTTCTAAAGCATATTATTTATTCCCACACTGGCAACAGAAAGAATAAAACAAACTCGAGAAGAAGGAGTCTCGAGTCTGTTTTAGTCTTTCTGTTGCCAGTCAATGTTACCAGCACGCTCTTCCGTTAATGTTAATTTATTCCCACTTAGCAGCATTTTTCTTTTTCTCCAACTATTTGTTTTCATCCTCACAACATGGCTTTCGTAAATCTCTCTCCTGTGAAAGGAAACTTCTGGTCGTCACTAACTGTTTGTTCTCAGTTCTTGACCATGCGTCTCAGGTTGACTGTATTTTTCGCGACTTATGCAAGGCCTTTGACAAGGATTCTCAGAAGCTGCTGCTCCTGAAACTAATTAAACTCAACCTTGATCCTAATTTACTAACGTGAATTAAGTGTCGTGTAACGAACCGCTCTTAGTTCGTAAATGTATATGATTCTACATTCCTCTAGGAGCCCTGTTAAGTCTGGTGCCCCTCAAGGTTCCGTCTTGCGACCTCTACTGTTTCTCATTTGCATTAACGACTTACCCCTGTGCGTTTCATAAAGCGGTAGTTTACTTGCGGATTATTATGTGCTTTATCGTAAAATTACAAAGGATTTTGACGCCCAACTTCTTCAGAATGACTTGAATACTGTATCTGCTTGGTGTCGGCAATGGCACATGACCCTTAACACTGCCAAATCCAAAACAGTGAGACTTTCCCGTCGTAACAAACCTCCTTCTACTTACTACCTTAGTATCATTCGTCCAATTTTTGCGACTTCTTATAAATACCTCGGTGTGCACATTACTTCCAACCTATCCTGGCAAGCTCACATTAATCACATTCTTTCTAAGGCCAACTCCATGCAAGCGAAACGTTCCTTTAGCCCCTGTCTCACTTAAACCTCCATTGTTCAAATATCTTGTTCACTCGAAATTAGGTAATGCTGCGGCAATCTGGGATCCTAATCAGGTCACACTCACAGCTAACGGTGAGTCACTTCAAACTCGCAGCGCTCGTTTTATGCTTACCAACTATCATCGTACAGCCAGTGTTTCATCGATGAAAGCTAACCTCTCTTTACCTCTTCTTTAATTTCGCCGTAGATGCTCCCGTCTATGTCTTTTTTTGCAAAATATATTATACTAACCATACCCTAAAAGGAACATTCCTCCTCGAATCATCTTACATTTCTTTACGCCTCGACCATTAGTTCAAAGTTGGCATTCCTCATTACCAGACCTCGGACTATAACGATTCCTTTATACCTAAAACATGGTCAGAGTGGAACCACCTGCCAGCATCTATAATATCGATACCATAATTAGATTTGTTTAAAACTGCTGGTAATCATTATTTTTGCGTAAGTGTCCCATACCTGTGTTGAATTACTATGTATGTATTTTTATTGTGTTTAGTTGGCCACTCCCTTCTGCAACGCCCATTGGACTCTCCAAGAATAATATATATAAAAAAACGTTGGTAGAGGTATTGTTTATCCCTAAAAAAGATCACGACGCTTTATATTTTTTGCCTGGTTCGTACTAGTATTATAGAACCAATTTCAAACTTAATAGCTGGACTCTGCCGCTGTGACCTGCTGCAAGCTTACAAATGTTACCACGGTAAGATATACACTTGGTTTATGAAGCCTGCGACCGCTCTCAGTCGCTGGGACAAGCAATAAATTGCTTCATGTCCCCTTGTAACCTTTTTACATGAGCAGAAACATGGCGGCATCCAGGTCCTCGACTTACAATCGTGCCATTTCCAATGCTTCCAGATCACCAACCAAGAAATCAATCTGCTCAGACCAGCACGTGCGTAGTCGTCGTTTCGTAAATTTAGTAATTCAATAGCCATATACAAAAACATTGAAGATGACACCTGCCACATTAATCAGCCGATTCCCAGATATTGATTTTAAATTTCCTCATTTAAAATCCCGCTGGCTTTCATGTCTAAGCGGTGAGGATTCTTCACAAACATTATTTACCTTACCTGGGCCTTACACCTGGATAAAGTTGCCAGACGACTGACTTCGAGAAGGAACTCTTTCACCTGCTTTGGGGTTGCGTCAAGTGGGAAACAAAAAAGGACGTTCGTGGATTAAAAAAAAAATAAAGTCGACTAGCTGAGCTTTTGCTTTGTGGCGGACTGTGTTAACATATCTGAAGCATGGAAAACCGTTTGCCACAATTTCACATAAAACTTTCGGTAACTGGCACCCATGATTTTGAGACCAAAATGGCTCAACTGTCCTTAAGAGAGGCGAAACTTATGTATTGCCTTTGTTGTCATCCCTATTATATGGATCCACGAACATCTATATGATAGGACTGATAACGAAGACAATGAATAAGCTTCGCTTCAGAGTAAGGACACTTGAGCCATTTTGGTGCTCAAGTTCATGGCTGCCTGTTATCGGAAGCGTTATCAGAAATTGTGGCAAACGGTTTTTGGCCCCAAGAAATGTTAACACAGTCCGCGACAAAGCAAAAGCTCAAGTAGTTTTTTTTTTTTTTTTTTCAATCCGGACAATCGCCAGTTGCGTCCGCTCGGCACTAATTACCAAAATGGCGGCGTCCACAAGAGAATCGGGGATTGCAGTGCCTGTACTCTTTGACGAGCTTATCTACTGGCTAGAGGAACAACGACATCAAGCCTCGAAATTGGAATTTCCGTTTTAATACCGAATTTGACGGAATTAACGACGTTGAAATAAATATAATATCTACAGGTACTTCTACTGGTATGGGTAGGCGCATGCAGTGTAGGCAGGATTGAAGATGGTGTTGGCGGGACATACATAATAATAACGTAAATAATTACGGTACCCCATATCCACGCAGCGAGAGAATAAGCGAGTGTTCCATGGGCACGCGTAGTAGCCCTCCGCGTCACATTTCGGCCAGTTTTGTTCGCCCACCAACACTGGGGGTGGGAATACCTTGGGCTCTGACGAAGGTTTCGTTTCCATTACAGTTTGTGATGTTGTAGGTTCTGTCTGGACCTCCACCGTCGTAGAGGGTTGAGAAACTTCGGTCGGTGTCTGGAATTCAGTTGTTGTGACAGCTTGTGACCGTGTAGGTTCTATCTTGACTTGAGTTGTCGTAGTGGGTTCTGACTCCTTGGGCTCTGTCTGTGCTGCAGTTGTCGTAGTTGGTTCGAAAGTTTTGGGCTCTGTCTGGGCTTCGGCTGTTGTAGTGGGTTCGGACTCTCTGGGCTCTGTCTGGGCATCAGTTGTCGTAGTTGGTTCGAAAGTTTTGGGCTCTGTCTGGGCTTCAGCTGTCGTAGTTGGTTCGGAAGTTTTGGGCTCTGTCTGGGCTTCGGCTGTTGTAGTGGGTTCGGACTCTCTGGACTCTGTCTGGGCGTCAGTTGTCGTAGTTGGTTCGAAAGTTTTGGGCTCTGTCTGGGCTTCAGTTGTCGTAGTTGGTTCGGAAGTTTTGGGCTCTGTCTGGGCTTCGGTTGTCGTAGTTGGTTCGGAAGTTTTGGGCTCTGTCTGGGCTTCGGTTGTTGTAGTGGGTTCGGACTCTCTGGGCTCTGTCTGGGCGTCAGTTGTCGTAGTTGGTTTGGAAGTTTTGGCCTCTGTCTGGGCGTCAGTTGTCGTAGTTGGTTCGGAAGTTTTGGGCTCTGTCTGGGCTTCGGTTGTTGTAGTGGGTTCGGACTCTCTGGGCTCTGTCTGGGCGTCAGTTGTCGTAGTTGGTTCGGAAGTTTTGGGCTCTGTCTGGGCTTCGGTTGTTGTAGTGGGTTCGGACTCTCTGGGCTCTGTCTGGGCGTCAGTTGTCGTAGGTGGTTCGAAAGTTTTGGGCTCTGTCTGGGCTTCAGTTGTCGTAGTTGGTTCGGAAGTTTTGGGCTCTGTCTGGGCTTCGGTTGTTGTAGTGGGTTCGGGCTCTCTGGGCTCTGTCCGGACTTCAGTTGTCGTAGTGGGTTCTGACTCTTTCGGCTCTGTCTGGGCTTCAGTTGTCGTAGTCGGCTCGGAAGTTTTAGGCTCTGTCTGGATTTCAGCTGTCGTTGATGACGGAGTTTCTTGCGATGTTTGCGGGGCTTCGCTGAACGTAGAAGACTCTTGCGTGACAGGCGGGGCCACCGACGTCGTAGGATGTGCAATCGGTGTGTTCATGGCCGTTTGAATAGCAGTCTGAAGTGGATTTCTTCCCTTTCTGCAAGCTCCCCTGAAGTCGTCTGTTTCCATGGACCAAATCATGATTCCAGCCAATCCTTTAAGCATGGCAAACTCGACCTGCGGAACCGGAGTTACAGAGGAAGGTTATTCGGGTTTGATTTGGATGCTCAGCGAAAGCGTAAAGCAGCAGCCCCAATTCTCGTGCATAATCTCACACAAAAGACACGGTGCTTGCCGCAGACACGGTGAGAAAACTATCTTCGTATACACGCCTTAAGCATGCTCGGAGCTCGTTTCCTTCATACATTTGGATGCTTCGAACTTCTCTGCAGGCTGGATGAATGGACAGAGGCTTAACGATTGTACCCTTTATATCGGGCGGTAGCTTGCGCCACCTAGCCCAGAAATTAAGAACCAAAAGGCGGTTCGATATGACCAGTGTGGTCAGACCGTCGTACAAAGAAGAAACACGCCTCAGACGGTAAGACTCTCTTTTTTATTATGTATATGCAGTGTAGCTGTGAATTTACTTTATTTACATACCACATTTTGTATTACACATCTATTTTTAAGAATCTGAACTGGTGTTTTATATAACACTATTAAAGGGGTCATGGAACGAAAACAAAACTAACAATCCGAAACAACTATACCGCTGGAATATATTACATATTATTATTGTATATTGATCTTTTAATTTTTTTTAACCATTGTGTTATCTTTAAAGGGATGCTGAACCGAAATCTGGATTCCCTAAAACACGCGACAAAAGCGTGCAACGGGATGCTACAAACACTAAAACATCACTCATACAGCGATATCTCAAACGGATGACCGTATTTTTCAAAAAAGAGGCGCGTTTGGCAGGAATGTTAACGTCATGTTTCTCCGAGAAGGAGAGGGAACGGCCTCGCATCTTTTCCGCCTCGCGGCCTTGAGGGAGCGAAGCGAAAAGAGGAGAAAACTAGGTATCTTGACGGTTACGCGCCTCGTCGGCCTGGTTCAATCCCGACTTCTTTTTCCAAAAATACGGCCGTCCGTTTGAGATATCGCCTTACTAGTAGTGTTGTAGGGATTATAGCGTCCCGCCTACATCTCCAGTAGTTTTTTTTTTAAATCCAAAATTCGGTTCACCATCTTTTTAACATTTAATTTGATTTTTTTTTTCTAGTTTCTTAGATCCAGAAGTTCAACAAAGCCGGCCTGTTCGGGTGTGATGGTGATGTCATCTGCCATAGCATCTAAAATAAGAAAACGCTCAACTCGTTCAATTATACCTCAGCGAAGTTACCGTCTACTTGCTCAAGGATGATGCACCTCGTTTGTACAAACAAGAATCGCGATGTAGGAGCAAATGCCAAAGATACGAGGTCGGCCTTCTAGTATTGCTTGTGGTATTTTAGAAAATGTTCACGTGGTTTTACGGACATAATGCGGTGGGGAAAGCACGCTTTACTAGGAGCTGGTGTGGCCAAAGTCCCGTTAGGGCTGCTTGGTCCCCATATGCAAACTATGAACAACGATGAAATACTTTTCTTACAATTAACTCTCATAATCGTGATCCTTGGTGCGTACTCTAGGAGTTTTTAATTTTGAAATAATCTAACTGGTTTATTTACGCGCCATGACCACTTTCATTGAAGGGTGCCTCAGTTAGATGCGGATGAAGCGTAGAAAAGAATTTCCTCTGGAAAGAAACACAGGTTTTCTTTCGCATTCTTCCTCACTATCTTCCTTAACAACAGAATGCAGATGTTTCTCTCACTGGCAGACTATCCTATGCGGAGCGGAAGTTCGTCTGCTTCTTTTACAGGGGTTGTGGTGACGTCAGAACGCCGACCACTGATTGATTCTGATCGAAGGATAGTGGCTATACCTCAAGGTGGCTTGCTTTAAGGTCTACCCACTATCCTTCATTGAGAGCCAATCAGAGCGCGGCGTCTTTCTGACGTCAGCGCCACTCCTGCGCAAGAAGCAGACGACTATTTTGTTACATTCTATGAACAATATAACTCCCGCCGCAATCGTGCGCAGCATAGGCTTAGCCACATGCGGCGCCATTAAGATTCAAATCCGGATCCAATCCAGCAACCAGTTTTCGAAGATAACCCGTGACGTAACTGAAGCCCACGAAGGTTTCTGCATGTATTGTTGCTCCCCATGTGTTCGCTGGTGCGGGTAACGACTACTGACGTCACGACCTATTTTTTTCGGTGACGAAGCAAAAATGGACTTTACCTAATTTTATTTTTTCGTTCGTGATGATTTCGAGAAGGCTGTTTTAGTGGCATTTTGAACTCGCGCGAAATTTCCCGATGTGTCAAAACAAGTATACAGCCGACGTTATAGCACGCTCGAAAAACTGTCGCTCAAACTATTAAACACACAAACAAGAAAACACTCACGCAGCGCTCATTAACAACTCTGTATTGCGTGAAAAACTTCCTCTGCTTCTACTTCTACTTCAATTTATGTAGGACAAACTGGGCGGAGTCTTAATGACCGCCTTCGTGAACATAACAACATCGTCAACGCCAACTTTGGCCACTTAATATTTCTTCAGAATCGTGGTTGATCGGCGCATTTCAACAGCAGCACCGTGTTAGGCAAAAGTGTCAACCAAGTAACATGGGAAAGGATCGAAGCCGGGAACATTATACGACTGGAGGACAAATGTGCTAGTACGCCGTCTATATTATTGTCACAAAACAACACTAAATATTTAGCCGCAAGTTTGTCTAGGCGGTAGAAGGACATTTTTGCCTTTTTATTTTTCTTTCTTTTTTTTTTTGTTCTACTTGAAAATCGTCTTAGGTTGAAGTAGAAGTAGAAGAAGTTTATCACGCAATACAGAGTTGTTAATATTAATTGGGATTGTGTGGATTTCTATACAACGTACTCGGTCCGCCATTTTCAAAGTTGCGACGAGTCACTCGCTGTAGATGAGCAATTTAGCCAGTGCAGTACAACCGCTAGCCTGGGGTCTTTAACGTGCACCACGCAGTAGTGATACACGACCGCACGCTACGATGCTCATCCAGATCGAAACGGGCAGAGGTGGGGATCGAACCACAGAGTTGTTAGTGAGCCCTCTGTGAGTGTTTTGTTCTTTGTGTGCTTAACAGCTTGAGCGACAGTTTTTCGAGTGCACTGTAACGTCGACCAACATGAACAACCAACTCGCCCAATCTAAAGTTTTAACAACTATGCGACACGCAGTTTAAGTTGAATGTCTTTTGGTGGGACATTAGAGTTGAAGGTGCCCTGAGCAGGTCTTTGAGATCCCTCAAATTTAGCGATAACTCACTCTTCTGGCTCTAAGCATCCTACAAATACCTAAATCATGACGATGGGAGGCCAATTTCCATATTAAAACAGCATACAAAGATCGCAACACGAGGTCGTCTCCAGCGAGGGGGGAACATGTTCCGAAACCAGGACCACTCTCAACTAATAGCAAGCGAAGGATCCTCACACCTCCGACTGGTGGAACCGCGGAGTGATATCTCGAATGTGCGTGGCTCGTTGCCCATACAGCGCGGACTACCCAACATTCCACCCAGCGAGCGCGCGCTCGAGAGCTGACCACATGACACATCACTCCCGGGGAAGAAACAAACAAACAAAAAAAAAAACAACATTGTGCGTTGTTTTTTAGACGACTATTACAGTATTATGTTCTGTGTACGCGAAAGCATTTTTCGACCACTCTTGTTCGCTTCTATTATCTACAAAAGCATTCACATTTTGTAATAACAGCGTTTGCAATCTCACCGAAATGTCGCGTTTTCATTGGTCACATGTCGTCCCTGGCTGCCGGAGATGATGACCTCGGTCATCATCTCCAGTGGAGCTGTTAAAGGGGTCATGAAACGATTTCTCTACTTCTTCCTCCATAGCTTGAATCCTCAACTCAAATTCGAATTGTGAAATCACGTCGTCCTGACATTCTTCGGCACTGGTGCGATGACTCCTAGCTTCCACCGTGCTTTTTATGCACACCATAGAACTTGTCATTCCCCAGTGACGATAAGTTCCGTCAGGGCACTCATTGGCCACGAACGCGAATCCAAATATTCGTCGACGAATTGATTATTGACGAGCGCATACGTCGGAGTGACGCGATTCTCGTGTCTGATGCGTGAGCTGGGCTCGGCTGACGTCAGGTTGGCACCGCTGACGCACTTTGGGAACCGCGGATGTATCATAGTGAAAAGGCGGAGAGCGTTCGAAGGAAAGAAGGTACAAAATAGTCCGCTATCATCTCAAATGTTCATACCGAAAAGCTGGCTTCTAACTTTCTACCCTCTTTCTTTTGGCCAACTAAACGATATGTGATTAGTAAAGTCCCAACTTAAAATCATTCATCTAAACCCAAAATTCGTTTTATGGCCCCTTTAAAGGGGCTGTGCAACGACATTGTGTAGGATTATTTCCCTACTTTACACCAGCTTCCTGGCATTAGTGGGACCCAAGAATACTCGAACGCATCACCACTGACCAAGAAGCGTCTTCGTCGCGGCGGAATTCAAAGGATGAAAGCGGAGCTTTTCTTTCAGTCTCTCCTTCCAAAAGCCGCCTTTTGCTCCTTCGCGAAGTTTGATGACGGAGCTGTGGGGACAATGACAACAGTACGATCCCCGGGAATGCGTCATCGAGCTTTGCGGTGATGATATTCAAATGCTGCTCACACAGTGGACGCGAAGACTGCGTACGCATTCGATCTGGGTCGTGACAATCGATGCCTCGACATTCATTCGGGCAGGGGCGGATTTAGAGGGGGGGGGGGGGGGGGGGGCGGATGTCCTGACACCCCTCTTGATTTCTGCATGTGTAAAATTTAGGGCGTGAAACGAGGGAGAGGGGGAGGGGGTCCCTAAACATATGATACGCTGACCAACACCTGACCACCCCCTTCAGGAAATTCCTCCATCCGCCCTTGTATTCGGGTACAGTGTTATTCGGGTAGTGGCCCGTGTCCAATCGCTGCAACGACGACAATAGCCGAGCCATAATAATGTCTAAAACTCATCGCGTGTCCTATGCTTTACCGACCCCAGCGTGTGGCTATGTTCAACATTGGCGGCATATAATCGGCTCCAGATCATGTGGCCGCTTGTTCTGGCTGCGAGTTGAGGGGGTGAACGGTGCTCGTTTTTCTTTAATTTTTTTCTGGAACTTCTATTGGCGTGGGGTGAAAAACGAACGCGTGTTTCATAGATAATTAACGTCAGGGATCAGTTTTAAGGGGTATTTGCGCAAGAACAAAAATTGTTGCATCGCTCCTTTAAGGGCTAGTCTCCCCGGGATCGTGCCCCCGCAAAGAAATGAAGACACCGATCTCTGGACACCTACCGCCATCTATGAGCGACGGCGGGAAGCCACGTATCTGGTTGCCGCCGTCGCTCATAGATGGCGGCAGCCTTTCCACTCTGGCTTGCCGACTGGCGGCCGGCCATTACGTTCCATTGTACAGCTCCGCTGGTCTTCCTTCACCAGAGTGGAAAGGCTGAAAGTTTTGATTGTTCTTTTAATAGGGAAATCGACCGCGCGTCGTTATGATTTATAAATTTCTTGGGTGCTTAGAGGCCGCAGAGAGTGTTATCGCCGAATTTAGGCGATCTGGGAAACCTGCTCAGGGCACCTTTAATATAAAATTATGGTATTTAAAACGTATATTAAGAGCATTCCAGGCCATGCTGACCAAATTTAATTTATATCGGTATAACGCATCAAATTAAACTAAACAGTTAATGAACGGACTGCGTCACCCTGCGCAAAAGCAAACGACGAAAAAAATAGGCGCGTGACGTGTGTGTTTTCCAGAGTTGTTTGTACAGAACGCAACTTTGGCTTCATACCTCCGGAATATGAGTATATTGATTACTACTTACATTGTAAAAACGAAGGGAGAAATTAGGCGGCATGTTGATCCCCTACACAATTAAATTAAATTTAAAAGAAAAACGAAAAAAAAAAACATTGAAATTTTTGTTTGCGTATCTTTGCGGACATTAGAAGTTGGAACGCCCAATTTGATTTCTTTTTCTATATTTATTTACAGTCTTAACAAGCTAAATTATCTCTAAATTTTTCACAAAGCAACAACAAAAAAAAAGTTCGAATCTTAACTTTGTTTATGCATCGAACTTGGCGCCGAAGTGGCCACAACGACGTCACAAAATCTGGAGTGTCAGGCTGTCTGGTGCCACTAAAGAAGCTACGCTTCAGAGTAACGACACTTGGACATATTATGGCTTAAAATCATGGCTGACAGTTATCTGAAGCTTTGTCTGAAATCACAGGGAGCGCTTTTCCGTCCTACACAAATTTTAAACAGTTCGCGACAGAGAAAAGCAATATTACATGAGCTTCCTAACACCGAATCTAATGCTGAGGAAGTCGCACTTTTGAATCATGACGATCGGCAGTTGCGTCTGCTCTGCACAAGCCCCAAAATGGCGGCACCCACAGCAATGTCGGGAAACGGAGTGCCGATACCCTAAGCGCAGCTCATTTAGTGGCTCTAAGGCTGTCGGATCACGCCATCCTGGCAGCCGATGCTAAAAGTTCCGGCCATGAGGGCCAAGAGTATGAGCGAACGCGGGTGTCGCTGTTGTCGCGAAGTCCCGATTTCTGGCTGCTGAAACTTATGTGGACTGTCGAACTGGAGTGCGATCTCCAGCAGAGCAGGCGTCTGCTACGCATTCCGACGCGGCTGTCATGCCGCCAGGATTGCGGCCGGCGACGGTATAACTGCAGTATAACGCTTCTATGACGTCATCGAGCGGAAATATAATTTAGAACGGGGCTTAGGCTAGGTGGCGCAAGCTACCGCCCGTTACAAAGAATACAGCCTTTAACATTCATCCATCTATGCACCCAGTCGTAAACACACCAGTCGGAGACTCGTTCCAGGCATCATATATATATATATAGTACAGGGACAAGAGAGTCGTCCTGGTGCAGAGGAGTCTGGGTTAGTCCCGGTGATCTCCTTGAACTCACCTTTGCAGTAAGGCTTTCCGCGTCGTCGTAGCCGATCCAGAAGTTGTCCTTGACAGCCACCGGTGCGTTCACGTCGGGGTCTCGTGTCACCGTCCACCCTCCTTCGTTCAAGTACCGGCAAATCTGAAAACCAACGGGCACATTATTTTTTTTTTTGTCAGCGTTAATCACGATGCAAGAGGAACATTTAGGAGGGTCCAAATTATGTTCGGTGCGCCTGTCGCTTCTTTTGAACGCGGATAGATGGCGCACGATTCAGCCCGATTCAGAGCTTCCAAAAAAAACTCCTTGTTGTTTGAGGTCAGGACGGATGTTTTACGAGCTAGGGTGCAAAGACAATATCAGGACGTAGGTACGGTGTGCGGGGCATGTAGAAAGTAAGAAAAGACGGTTGAACACCTACTACTTTACTGTAAACGGCTTCACCCTGCAGTTGTTTAAGGCGATGCTGATTTAGTGGCAGCGACGAAAAAATAGACGGCGGGAAATTGGAGATCACCAAGCACAGTCTATCGGACTGGTTGCGTAAGCAGAAGGAAGAATGAAGTCTCGTGACCAATGGTTATTGAAGTCAACCATTTCGTCGTTTACCCTGAGACTGGGGGGTTTTTTGAAGAGCAGAAGAAACAGAAAAAACAGACAGGTCTCAAACTCAGCTGTTTCTTCTGCTCTTCAAAAAACCCCCCAGTCTCAGGGTAAACGACGAAATGGTTGACTTCCACCAGCTAGCCTGTACTTTGACTCTTTTCTGGTTATTGAAGGCTTGTGCTTAGCAGAGATTTGATATTCCTTTTGACTTTCTCTATTTGTTAGCAATTTAATCAGATTTTAAACAATTTGAATTAGAAGCTTTGGCCAGGTTGCACAAGCCGCCAACCGATTTAAAGGGTTCGTCTGTATTATTTCATTCATCCATCCATATATCCGCTTCTTCCCCATTATTTCACCAAGAGATCCTTGTTCAGAGGTCTGCTCCCCTTCATGTCATCACCGAACCGTTCGCCGTTCTCGAACATGGACCTTTTCTACCTCTTCTATTTCCCTGTGGGCCTCTTGGTCGGAGCGCCCTCTATGTCGGCATGAAACGAGCAAGTCCTGTTTCGAGGCTAGATGCGAACACAATCTGTCCGCGCTCCCTTCTCGACGATAGCTTGCTTTGTGGCGTTAACAAAATATCCAACTATCTACTCAAAAAAAGAAAAAAGAAAAAAAAGAGGTGCTTACACGATTGAGGGTTATCGTTTGCTATCACCTATGATCAACGTTCCCTGTTATTCAGCATCCTCCCCTTTTATTTCCTTTGTGTAGAAATATAATTAATTTTCGATCATTTAAGATATCTGGCTTAACTATAGCAATAATCTAACAGTCGGACAAATAGCTAACTATCCGACTGTCAGTAACCCTAACATTGTCAAAAATGTGTGTTTTAATTTCATTTTCGTGCGTTATTTTTTTGTTACACTGAAAACGTTTGTACTGTTTCTTTAGTATTGTGGTGCACCACTTGAAAGGCGTAAACCTGTCGGTGGGCAACTCTAATGCAAATTAAATAGATAAATTTTATGGTTATAAATATTCAAGAGGAACTGATATATATATATATATATATATATATATATATATATATATATATATATATATATATATCACCTAGCCATATCTGTGAGTTCTTCATGCTTAACTAGAGGTGACATTAATATCATTGAACTAGTTAATGATTCAGCTATTCCCTCAATCAATGCCCGACTCCATCAATCAAACGATGAATTGTGCTAATGTAATTGACCTTTGAAAGAAGTCACGAGCGTGAATATTCCAGTGAGAAGGCACGTTGGCTACAACAGCGGCTCACTGGTGAAAAGCGAGGTTTCTCTCGACACGCGACGAGACGTTGTTGTGTGTGTTTTTGAGGCCACGTGTGCACTGTCTTTCGGAACTTTGTTCATTATCGTCACCCTCGCTTTGCGACCTCCAGTTTTGTTGAGGCTAAAATTGTGATTATGTTGTGTGTTTGTTTAGACAGCGGGAATCAAGTCAATCCCAATGGGCGCCATGGTATCTAGGCCGTAGATGAGAAAGTTAGCGAGTGCAGTACTACAGCCAGCATGGGGTCCTCATCGTGCATCACGCAGTAGTAATTCACGACCGCACGTCAGTACAATGCTCTTTTTCAGGATTCGATTACCTCATTGTATCCGAGGTTACCGTCGGTTCGGCTGCAGGGTCCCATGGGACCAGGGCCGACCGAGGGTGCCAGGAAGCCCGCGTTCTTTGGATCTTTTAACAGGAAAGTTCGGCCGTACAGCGGCACCCCCAGAAGCAGCTTGCTCGGGGGAGCCCCCCGGGTAATCCAGTGATTGACAGCGTACTCCTGCAAGTCGGACGCGTAAACATGAGCCTTTGGAGCTTCGGAGTTTCATTAAAAAAAAAACAAAAAAAAAACGAATGTTTAGCAAAGAGTGTTTCAGGAACCAAACCGCGGTCGCTGTATAAACATAAATTCAGTAAGGAGTGTTCCAGGAACCAAATCGCGGGTTTTGCATAAGCATGAATTTTCAGTAAGGAAGATTCAATGAACCAAATCGCGAGTGCTACTTAAGCATAAATATATAGTATCGAGCGGTCCAGGAATTAAATCGCAGGTGCTACATAAGTATGAATCTTCAGGAAACAGTATTCCAGTAATCAAACCGCGGGGTTAATTCCTGGAATAATTATAAATAATATTATATTTAAGGAATATGTATACAAGTATGACTTAAGCGACAAGCTTGTTTCAGGAACGAAACCGCGAGAACTACCTAACCATAAATCTCCAAGAAAGAGTGTTCTAGAAGCCAAACCTCGTGTGCTACGTAAGCATGAATATTCAGCAAGAAGTGTTCCAGGAACCAGATCGCAAGCGCTACGTAAGCATGCATCTTCAGTAAGGAGTATTCTAGAAACTAAACCGCGGGTGCCACGTAATCACGAGTTTTCAGCAAGCATTGTTTCAGGAACCATACCGCGAGTGCTCCGTAAGCATGCATTTTCAACAAGGATTGTTCTAGGAACAAAACCGCGGGTTCTGCGCAAGCATGAATTTTTAGCAAGCAGTGTTTTAAGAGCCAAGCCGTGGCTGCTACATAAGTGTGAATCTCCAGCAAGAAATGTTCTATGAACCAAACCGTCACGCGGTTCAAGCGACTGTCTACCACGTGAAACTAGAGGGAAAACTTTTCCGCATTATAAAATACGGTGCAGAACACGAGAAAACTAATCACGGCGAACACTAGAAGGGTCTCAGCAAATGGCGAAGCTCAGGATACGCTTAAAGGGGTACTCCGCCGATTTCTTCATGGTCCCCGATTTGCTTGAAGTTTTGCTAAATTCGTGAAACAACATCGCCAAAATAGTATCCCAAATATTAGGTCAAAATAGTTTTTTTTCACGAAGTTATTGAATTTACAATTTTGGTCCTCACCGTGTTTTTCAAACTGAAAGTCTCTACTGGCAACAATGAAAAAGTGACGTCACTGGAAGTGCAGGGGTTCACTCTTTGGACTGTAGAATTTGTTCCCAACTGATTCGAAGCAGTTTCATGGTGTCAAATGAATGCTTTGGAAGCTCGCTCCAGTCCCCGCGCTCCAGCACGGAACAAATGATTGGCATATTCTATTTTTTAGACTGCTCGCCCGACTGGCAAGCTGAACTTCCACTGACGTCACGGCCCTGAAAAGGGCGGGTATATTTGAATGTCTGTTTTTGCATCATTTTCATTTGCCGATTTCGCAGGAACTATTATGAATTCCGCGATACTAAATAGCATACCAGAAAGGGTAAAGGCCTGGGAGTCAGAAAATATAGTTAGTTAAGGTAGCTCAAAAATCGCCGGAGTACACCTTTAAAGGGCTACTCCACCGATTTTTTCATTGTCTCCGATTTGCTTGAAATTTTGCTAAACTAACCAACAAACATCGCGAAAATAGTATCCCAAATATTAGGTCAAAATATTGTTTTTTCGCGAAGTTATTGAATTTACAGTTTTGGTCCTCACCGTGTTTTTCAAGATCGAAGTCTCTACTGGCAACAATGAAAAAGTGACGTCAGTGGAAGGCAGGGGTTCACTCTTTGGGCTGTAGATTTTGTTTTAAACTGATTCGAAGCAGTTTCATGGTGTCAAAAGAATGGTTAAGAAGCTCGCTGCAGTACCCGCGCTCCAGCACGAAACAAATGATTGGCATATTCTATTTTTTGGCTGCTTGCTGGACTGACAAGCCTGCCTGCCACTGACGTCAGGGCCCTGAAAAGCGCGCGTATATTTGAATGTTGGTTTTTGCATCATTTTCATTTGCCGATTTCGCAATAACTATTATGAATTTCGCGATTCTAAATAGCATACCGGAGAGAGTAAAGGCCGGGGAGTCAGAAAATATAGTTAGTTGAGGTAGCTCAAAAAATCGGTGGAGTACCCCTTTAAACCAAAAAATGTTGTGTGTGCATGAACAATGGGCGTGACGTTTCACATGCTGAAAGCGCCTGCGCAGTGCGCCCATTGCCTTTTGCGGGTCTAATTTCCTTACGACCTTCGTCATTCTCTGGGAGCCCTCTATTGTTCACCATGGATCGTTGTCTCGTGTTCTGCACGAAGCGAAATCACAGCTTTTTTTTTTTTAGAACGTGGATGGACGAGGCCTGTCTTGTCTCGACAGGCCTTGCCCAAATATGATGCATTGATTGAGTTTTAAAGCTAACTGCACATTCGAACTGGCCCTGTTTGTTCAAAATAGGCGAAGGGGGACTCGGAAAGTCTAGATATTTTTATTGGTCGATAATCGACGGGCAATGAAATATCCTGAAAAGTTGACAAAGCATCGTTAATGTTTCCTTAGCTGCTGCGCCATATTATTCGAGTCTGCCATTATTAGACGCACGCATCCTCATCACGTACTGGACACGAGAGCCACGTCAGCGCTCAACTTTTAATCAAACCTGCTTGTGAAAAAAAAAAGAGAAAAAAAAAAAAAAACGATAGCTGCGGCTGCGTTTGGCGCGAATCTGGATCCAGTCACGCGCTTCATGGCCGAGAAATGGTGACCCCTAACATTGCATGCTCGTTCGGGTTTTGAAAACAAAGAGGGTCAGTTGAGCGAAGCGAACTGGGCAGCAAAGTGATGTTGATTCGATGAACCCGGCGCCGCGCAACACGGAAAACTTAGCTCGGCAACGAGTGCAACAACGCATAAATGTGCTCGCTTTCGAGGTGTGTGTTAAGTCTCCGAACAAACGCTCCTTTTTCGGATTAAGTTCGTCCGCAGCTCAGGGCTACGATCGGAATGACCCAACCAACCGGCACCAAAAATGCAGGGTCACGGTGGCAGTCGTCTTTTTTGCGTTGAACGCCCCCGTCTACACCGATCACGTGCAATGAATGCGCCTTCATGCTGTTTTTTTTATTTATTTAATTATTCCGTGATCGGTGATAATAAACACACAAAGAAGACGGCCACCATGACGATGCAATTTTGGCGCTGCTTGGTTAGTTCCGCCTCGGATAGTAGCCCTAGCTGCGGTTGGAATTGATGTGAGGTGGAGTACATAGTGTCCCTGTTAAATCGTTTTTTTTTTAAACCCAGGATTATATTGGTACGAATATAATTTTTTTGGGAATATGCATCACACGGATATCAGAATCATTTAAAACACAAAACGTAAAAATGCTGGTTTTTTTTTTTTTTTTTTTTTTGCGGGTGACATTTGGTTAATTTGGCCTCCGGGAAATTTGCGTGTATCCGCCAGCTCGACAAAACGGAATACTTGCCACGTTCCAGGTGGTTTCGATTTTGCTGGCATTTTGCCTGGCCCTGAGGGGAGCATTGTGGCCTGTCTTGTTGTCCCAGGCACCGAAGAAGTCGTAGCCCATGACGCTCATAAAGTCCAGATATCTGTTCGCGTTTGGAAGAGAGACCAGATCGAGAGGTGCGCCTTCTTTTTGCGAGTCACTCTTCCTCACAACAGGAGTGGGGTCATACTTCGGCTATAGGCAAGACAAGTCCCTCAACGGGGTTACAACGAAAGTAGACTAGGAACACGTAGCCGTTTACAGCCTAAGGGTGTATGTACGTATATCACGCTTGACGTATCTAAGAAACATATAACCCCAAAGCATTGATCTTTATCAGCGCGTTACACTTATCATGCCGTAAAATAGCTGCACGTGTCTTAAGTGACTTGTAGTGCTCTCACTATCAACAGTCGCCTTATTATCATCATGTCATAAAACTATTTAATGTAATTTTTCCTCTTTATAAAATTCCGACATGTAGTATATGGTCGACTAAAAAAAAACACCTTTGTTTTGTCATTTTTAAGTAATAATTATGTTACCTAAGGCAATTGCAATAATTTTAATCAATATAACGACACTCTCCTGTTTTCAATTCCAACAAAGGCACGGGCAGAAGATGTGGCCCTGTAGTAACAGGGGCTATTCACTGGCGGTTATAGTGTGTGCGCCACTGCTGAGCGCGTAATAATAACGAGCTTCCGCAGTTTTTTTCTTTTTTTACGTGTGTATATAATACGTTTCTGAGATTGTCGATCTTAGCAGCCTATTAATGCGAGCTCGTTCTGAGCATGCGCTCGAAATCGAATCGTCAAATATGGAGTCCAGTATATACTCCCTATTGGTGACAGGCGGGACCAAAAGCGTCGCTGTGGTCGGCCTTCTGCGATTAGCCAAATGATCACTATGACGCCTTGAGTAGTACTGACAAAGCCTGGAAGATTGCCACGAGAAGCCGCAGCCGAAATAAAAAAAAGGGGAGCGACAGACAACGGATGAGAGGACGGCCACGTGACTGACGCCCCGCTGCGGCGAGACGCCGAAACAGACTTCTCTTGAGCGAACAAGTTTGTTTCGTGTCCTCGCCGCTGAAAAACCTGTGCGCTGACGTCCAAGTTTCCCGAGATGTTCCTCTTTGATGCTCTGTGCTACCAGATCTACGCGTTCCAAATATCATCGAACTTACAGGCTTTGTGAGAATATAGAAGTTTATGGTACAACTTTTTGTGGCATTTCAGAAGCGAGGAGGAGGGCGCGTGCGCAGCTGTAGTCGGCGCTAAAGCACGCGCTCCCGTACTTTAAAATGCATAGCCATAGCAAGGGGTCCCCGAGTATTGTTGAGCTGCTTGGATACTGAGTTGGCCATATAATTAAGAAGGGGATTCATTCGCTACATCAAAAACGTGTAAAAGTAACCCAGATTTTTAAGCCGCCTAACACGATTTAACTGCTATTTTGAATCATTCGTTTAAACCGTTACAGAATATATAATTTGATATCTTTTTGTCGGTCAGCGGACAACATGACGCATGCTGCAGTTGAGGCCGAAGCTATACTTCGCTTTATAAATTGTACTATACACATGTGCTGCTATCGAAGCGTCTTTGTTCGGTCATTCGAGGAGAACATTCCCGCGCGCTCTTGCTTTCCTGTCTTCTGCAAAGCCGCAATAAACTCTCGAGGTGAAGGTATCTTGCATGTTTTTGTTAAAATGCTTGAGAATTTTTTGGGTGTGGTGCGCGCCGTCGTATTCATGTAATTGACATTTGAAACAAAATGTATTTCAGTATCACATTGTTTCTTTTTGTTCTCACGAACGTCCAGCGTCTTGGTATGGCTTATATACTCTACAATTGTTGCAAATTAAAAATGCATTGCTAGCGATTATTTGTTTTGCTGGGTAAGCACGGATTAATTTCAGGCTTTTGAAGGCGACAAGAGTCAAGGCAACTGCACAATCGTGTTTCAGTGCTGGCATAAAACTTGACGGTTTACTTTGGATACTTATGAAAGAAGACTTAATTATGGTGACGGTTAGGGATTTCGTAACGCAGTAGCCATAGCCTCCTCTATACCCCGAAATCCTGACAGTTCGACGACGGAGCTACAGAGTACCCTGAACAGATTTGTAGCGCGAGGATCTTGTAGCACCAAAGGCATCAAATAGCCATTTCTCGGGGAATCTGGACGTTAGCGCACAACTTTTGCAGCGGCGAGGACCAGAAACACACTTGTTCGCTTGGGAAAAGAGTGTGTCGGCCTCTTGCCGCAGCGGGGCGCCAGTCACGTGGCTCTCCTCTCATCCGTTGTCTGCCGCTCTACCTTTTCCATTTCGGCGGCCGCTTCTCGTGGCGATATGCCAGGCTTTTTCAGTATATAAGATGCTATGACAGTAGCAACAAGACAGAGAAGAAAAATGGAGCTACCTTTAACTGTATTTTAGTTTGCTGATAATTGTTCGAGAAAGTGTTTTAAAATGCGTCTTTGGCACATAGGAAGGAAAATAGGGGCACGCGAAGCAAAAGTCAACATTGAGAACCCATGAATAATGCACGATGACGAGGCAGCCAGACTTGCGCCCCCATTGCTTGAGGTCGGGGTGGAAAAACCCCACCAGGTGCGCAAGGAGCAGGCCGACTTGCACGCCGTATAGACCCCTCTCAAAGGTCTATGAAGCAACACTCACGGAAGCCATATTTTGGGCATTGCTTCCTTCGCAAAAGCGCGTTTTCAGATCGGAGTTCACGCCAAGCGTTGTAGCAGTATTCGCGTTCAATTCGCCCCTTTTGTTGCTTGGCAACGCATTCAGTGACGCCATTTATTGTGTAGCCCCGGCACACACTTCCGGTTAACCTAAATTTCCAAATTTTGTTTACTCATAATTTTTTTGTCATTAGATTTAATTAAGTCTGACAGTGCTATCAGTGGCCATTTACAGAAGATAGCGTGTATGGTTGATTTCGCAAATACTGCGAAACCCTCGGCCTAATTCACAATTGGAAGTGTTTGGGGTGCTATTTGCACGCTGGCGCCACCATATGTTTCAGATCACGCGAGCAAAAGCGAATACGCGCTCAATATGTGTGCCTCAAAAATAGCGGCATTGAAGCTTCTTCTGGAAGGCGTGTCCTTTTGAAAATGGTTAATTCAACATAACCTTCCTTACAATCCGTACCATGGTAGCACAGGTTTCTGGACCAAAATTTGGTTGTTGTCTGGGAATTTAGACCCTTAAAACGCCAGAAGGATCCAACGAACCAAACTTGACTTTCTCTAGCAAAAGCCTGGATACCCTGACCCTTATTCACCAAGGAAGTGCTAAAGCACAAGTACGTACCAAAAACGTATTTCTGCGTACGAAAGCTCGAGTGTGCTCATTTAAACGTGATAGAAAATAGTCTTTTCCATACACAAGATAAGGTTTGGAAATTTGCTAGACAACATACTAGAGATATTGCGCGCGGTATTTGCTTAAGAAGTGATTCCGAGATTCTGTCTAACTCGAAGGATATCGCTAATCTTTTTGCATGTCACTTTAGTGGTTGTTTTTTCTCAGATGCGCCTGAAGATAGTGCATTTCTTGATGATCCTATCTACTCTGATCTTTTGCGTTAAACCAGGTCACGGTTTGGAAATCATGGTGGCTATAAAGAAATTAAAGCCGAAACTGACATCTGGTACAAATTATGTGCCTAACTATATTCTTAAAGGTTGTTCAAATCTTTTTGCGCCTATCTTAGAGCATATATTTAATATATCAATGTCTAAGGGTGTATTTCCATCAATGTGTAAAGCGTCTATTGTTGTTCCTCTACATAACGCTGGGGTATACTTCGCAAGTTGGGAACTATCACCCCGTATCCTTGCTTTGTTCTTTTGCAAAGGTGTTTGAGATAGTTACGCCCACCCGTCTTTCTTTTTATCTTAAGCGACGTATTACGTCTCACCAGCATGGTTTCATCAAGGAAAGCTTGGTCGAGAAAAACCTGTGTACCTTTCTTTATTATTCAGTACCTTTCGTTTGCAATCGCGGTCAAGTTGACGTTGTTTATTTTAACCTCTCGAATGCCTTCGATAAGGTGAACCACGTTTTTCTATTGCACAAATTGTCACGAAATGGGGCTCCTCCTATGAATTTGAAACGGCTTGAAAGCTACCTGAGTGAAAGTCGCTGCGTTGTACGCATTTTAAATAATTTCTCTGATCCTTTTTGCCCGTCACTGGGATTACCACGGGGCTCCAGTTTGGGTCCACTTTTGTTTCTGATTTTTATCAGTGGCATATCTACTTTCGTGGTAAACTCAAACGTGTTGTTATTCGTGGACGATATCAAGCTGATTTTGAGTATTCGTTAGATTTGCGACTGTGACCTTCTGCAGAGTGACACATATTTTTAACTGGTGTCAGGAAAATTGTTTAATCATTAATCCAGAAAAAAAAGGTCTTGTCTTTCAGTAAAAAAACGTTTAATTGCGCAGTATTCGTACTCACTTGATGACAGGTGTATTTTAGGAGTTTGATCGCTTCGTGAAATTGGAGTTTACTTTGACACTACTCTTTCTTTTCGATGCCGTATCGCCCACTTTCTGTGTTCTGCATTTAGATTACTGGGAAGGATTATTAACTAAACAGTTTGTGAACTATGCCTGCCTCCTTCGTTTGCTCTGTTCTCTTATCAGATCTAAACTAGATTTTGGCTCGGAAGGGTGGAATTCGGTCACTGCACATGCAGGCAAAATAGAGTGAGTTCAGAGACGCCTAGTGCGTACAATCTATGACAAATACCTTGGCCGTAGGCATTTTTACAACTATGAACTCCTGCTTGATAAATTATGCATTGAGTGTCTATCCCTCAGAAGATTATCGCGCGATGTTGCCTTTTTACATAGATTAATTCACAGGGGGAATTGACTTAACAAGTTTACCCACAGTGAGTTTGAACGTACCGGTTCGCTCAAATAGGAGAGCTATCACTTTTTATCCCCACAAGCAACGCATGCTATCACCAGCAACAAGAATGCAGGTACGTGTAAACAATCTCGGGCATGAAAATTTTGATATTTTTAATAACTGCGTAAATCTTAATACACAATTAGAAGAGATTATTTTCCGTCGTTAGTAATGCACTGTCGTGCTTTGCTGCATGCTAGTTTTATTGTTATGGCATTTTTTTAAAATAACTATTGCAGAGCAAGTTCTACAACTCTACAAGTGTTTCACTGTGCCACATTGAGAAGCATTAGTGGTTGTTTATTGGCACAAATAAGGGCTTTATGATGATGATGAAAATTACTGTTTTTTTATAAACAGCGTTTTCTCTATTTGCTTCATTTTCGATGGTGTCATGAAGGTACTACCCTGCACAAGGCGCCTATCCCTAGTGACAAAACCTTTTTTATGAGAAATTTCTTGTGTCCAATAAACGCCATATGAATCATAAAATATATATAAGAACATATTAAAACCATATAAGAACTATATAAGAACATATAAGAACATATAAGAACCATATAAGAAACTTCCAAGAAACTCTTCACAATGTTATTATATGACTCTTGTATGTTCTTATGTATCTTATACAGTGCTTAGTTATTATATGGTTCGTATATATGTTGTATGATTCATATGTGTTTTATGGCCATAGATATTTCTCATATAAATAAGATTTTTTCAATAGGAATAGTTTAGTAAACCTCTTGATAAAATTAATATATTATTGTCATGAACTGTCTGGGGCGTGCCAAAGCCAAGCATTGCCAGGACTTGCATTGCAGACTCAAATCCGTAGCGCATAGAGGCTTATGAGTCTCGTTGCGGTGACATCGAGCAATACAGCAAACTAACATCTGGATGCTCGGGCTGCGCATCGGTTTCTGTCTTCACCAGCCATCAAGAGACACACACTTAGGTGATGACAGCTATCGGAGTGGAGAGACTGAATTTCGGAAAGGGTCTACTCTGAATCGGTTTTAACGTCGCAACTTTGGGCCGAAATTGCCAAACAAGTGCCGGATTTGGGTACCATCGCCGGTTCTTCGGTTTATAAGTGAAATCTTTTGCTCAAGACTGCCACTTTGGCTATATGTGGCAAGCCGAATAACAACCATAAAATTGAGAAAAAAAGTTATTTGGCCCTAATTAACAGCCTAGACAAAAAAAAAACTATTTGGCTCAAGTTAGGCCCCTGTAATTGCCAGGCGCTTGTGCCGAGTTATTGGCGTTTGTCCGGCGTGCAGAGGGCGTATGCATATTTCCGAGAGCCTGCGTTTTTGCAAATGCACGCAAAATTTCGGTTTGGTCACTAATGGTCTAGCACCCCCAAAAAGCTTCTAGACGTTGCGCGATAAAAAGAAAAAAAAAACGCGATGATGCTCACTTGCACATTTCGGTCACGTTGTAAGCTTGGTCCACCTTCTCTGGACTTGCCGCCACTGCAGCTGAGAGTAGATACCTGTCTCCAAGGGCTTGCTTTAGTGCCTGCACGCAGAACCGCGATTCGTTTCTATGTTGAGAGCAAGTCGCCTGCTTCTTGCGCAGGAGTAGCGGCGACGTCAGAGCGACGCCGAGCTGTGATTGGCTGATGGAAGAAAATAGTGGGTAGACCTAATTGCTAGACGTCTTGAGGTCTATCCACTATCCTTTCAATCAGAACCAATCAGAGCTCGGCGTTGTTCTGACGTCACCGCTGCTCTTGCGCGAGGAGCAGACGACTTGCTTTCCGCATACGCATTTTTCTGTTAGATTCGAACCAATTATAGCCGCTGGTAACCCCTAAGAAACACGGGGGCGTGGCACGTTCCGGCCTTGTTTCGATCGTTCTGCAGTCGATCGAATTGTGGCTTGAGACATCGAATGACAAATCACAAAGCAAGAAGAGTTAACACGAGAAACCACGCGCTGCGTATCTTTAAAACTGTGACTATAAACGGCCACGCTTTTTTTCAGGATAAGACGTTTTTGTCGTAAGATGTTCGAGCACCAAATTGGAAGGGCGGGGGGGGGGGGGGGGGGAGTTTATCTTAATACAATAGGGTTAGTATTAATGGAAATAAAAAAAGAATTAAAGGTAGGCAGGAAAACAAAACTGTGTCAGTGTAATTGAAAAATTATATATTTTCTTCTTTCTCTGTGTTGCATTTTCTACTGTTCCTATTATTAGCCATTCAATATTCTGTACGCGAAAAGGAAACAACATGTACTTCGGAGCTTGCTTGGTCTTAAAATACTTAATGATCAACTTGAACGAAAGTGACCACAACCTCTACTCAAAGCACAGTGCTGTCACGGTGAGTTCATTGTTTATTCGTATGTTCGATGAATATGAGCCCAGTACCACAGTGCTGCTCACATTGATTCGATGAGGCCCTACCCGGTTCGGAACTCAAACTCTGCCCAACCTTGCGCAGGGTGACGGAACCAGATCCCGACCTTTAAATGATTTAATGGTATCGCTTTTTTTCTTCTTCGGTATTTCCTTGTCCGGAGTTGTTTCGCGTACTCACCTTGAGCAGTAGAATATAATTGCCGTAGTCCTCAGGAGCACCTCCTCTGTCCGTCGGGTATTCCCAGTCCAGATCGAAACCGTCGAACCGGTAGCGGTTCAGAAAGGCAACCACGCTGTCCACGAAGGTCCGGCGCCCTGCCTCGGTTGAAGCCATGACGGAATAGTTCTTGGAGCCCTCGTTCCAGCCGCCGATGGCAATGATTGTCCTCAGCTGAGGGTTGGTCGTTCTAAGGTCGTTCAGCTTCCTCAGCATGTCTGCCGAAGGGAAGGGGGATTGTAGACATCCGCAAGTATTGTCCCAATCAATTATACAATTGAATATTTGTTTTATTGACATTCTTTGATAAAAAAAACATGTAGGTGTCCCGAATAGAAGTTTCAAATCGGCGGACTGCCTGCTTGAGCATGCTATAACCATTGACATTTTAGGGAACACATGAAGTGCGTTATTATGTTCGCATTTCTGGATTATATAATGATTTTAGGGAAATTCTCCAAGGTGGAGAAGATTCACGTAAGAATAAGTTTACTTCTACCTGAAATGAAGCGAAGCTCGCGTCTTCTAGTCGACTAGATAGCCGCCGAAAACAAATTCGCCTTGCCCAGGACTCAATCCCGGGACCTCTTTCGAAACTAGCGGAGCGTTCTACAAACTGAGCTAACCATGAGCTAGCGGTTAATACAGCTTTACTGACGGCTGCCTCCCGGTAAGCTCAGTTGGTAGAGCGCCCAGCCAGTCTTAGAAAGGTCTCGGGATTGGCTCCTGCACTAAAAGTTTTTTTTTTTTTTTTTTTAAGCTACTATTAGTTGTTCATAGATGGCGGGAGCTGCGTCTCATTTCAGATGGAAGCTCACGTTTCTGGCTTTGTGGTTCGTTCCTCAGTGTTTCTAACGGATAACGCCGCAATCGCAAACGCTGCAGGATCACGTGACGCCCCGTCACGCTACCTAGGCAGAAAGTCTGCTGACTACCTCTGACCTGCCACAATTACTTTGAAATCATCGTAAGAAAGAAATAAAAATTTCTACATGTTTGTTGGGCGTGCGAACAGAAAAAAGTTGGAGCTCCAGTGCACGTTATGAAGGTGGTTGGACAGCGAAGCTGTCTTATCACCTGCAACGATTGGTCGAAATGTACACTATAGAGCATAAAAAAAATGCAGTATAAAATCTTTTTATGGCAAACGACACCAGGTTTTGCTCCAGTCTTTGACGTCCCAGAGAACTTCCGGTTTATAAAAAGAATGAACAAAGGCCACCACTGCCTATACGCTCCGTGCGGGAACTATAGGGGGCGCTTTGAAAAACGCGCTTAGCGCCGCTAGCGGAGGAGCTGGCGTTCGACAGTGAGGCGCGCTCAGCAGCGTGCGCGCCTTTTCGGGTGCGAAGCTGTGGCGGCGAAAGCGCGCACGGACGGAACTTTTGCTTTTTGAGCCGATAAGTTGAGGGTGACGTTGCGTGAGTGCTGGGGCAGATATAAAAAGGGCATTTAGCTGTTCTCCGCTTCTTATATATTGAATTTGAGTCGTTATTAGGGGTAATTTCTTTAGTTGTGGTCGAAAAACCGGTTTGAGCAATTTTACGAAAAGCAAGACGGCCGCCACCATAATTGCTCTCAGTGGGAAATTTGTTTCGCTCGTCGCTGTAAACGTAGGACTGATGGGACGATGATATTTGGAGGAGAGTGAGATGTTCACTAAGTTTGTGCACTAAGTGGGCCAGCGTTTATGAAGACAGAAGGTGTGAAAGTTATGGTTCGAACGAATGAAGGAATAAAGCTGTCGGGAATATCTAATATTGGACCCAAAATGTTGTGTTATAACCGGGCTGTGCGAAGTGCAGATTTGGACACACAGGTTCTGGGAACATAACCGTAACTTGACACAGCACTCAATATAAAACATAGGTGGCATAGGGAAACCAGGTGGAAATTTGGTTTAGGCGGGGCTACTGAAAGGGAAACGGTTTTGACTGTGAAAGGGCTGTCAAGAGAATACCATTCGTCGTGGGAGATGGAGACTTTACAGGAAGGAAGGGGCTAGTGCACTGTACCTCCAATCGAAACAACTTTACGAAAGGTGGTTTCAAAGCCGAGAAAACCAAGTTGCCGGCCAACACACGGTTTGGCCGTCAAATGCTTTTGCGGTCTGCTGTTGTGTAGTAATCTGGTTGTGCGAGGTGCTGATTTTCGGCACACAGGTACTTCGACAACCTTAATTTGACAAAACACTTATTATGTCTAAAAGAAGTGGCGTAGTTTAACTAGGTACAAATATTTTTGGGCGGCGTAACCGGTCTCTATTTAGGAAACCGGTTTTTACCGTCAAAGGCTGTCAAGGGAATACCATTCGTCATGGCCGGGAGGTGCACACTTTACAGGTAGGAAGGGACCAGTGGACGGTACTTCTAGTTCGAACAACTTCACCATAGGTGGCTCTAAGGTCGAGAAAAAAAAATTGTTATCTACAAGACTCGGGGTGTCAGCGTTTCCACATCCAAAAGGAGGCTGATCAAAAAAGAAAACACACCACATAAACTTCCATACGCAAACATCGATTGTCCAGTGATTCCAAGTTTCGTTGTAGTTTTCCTTAGATTCATATTTGTCACTTTTTGTACTGTCCGAATCTTTCTTCATGAGGTACAGATTGCGTGCCGTACTGGTCCGGAAATATCATCGTCACGTAGGATAGGGACGAAACTTCTTTGGAGGGCATTCCTTCAACAAAATTCGCACTGCATACCCGCGAGTGTGGGATGGAATTTCAGTTCGAGCTGAGATATGTAGCGTTACTGGTACGAAAACAAACGCAGAGCGCAAAGCGGCAGTGTAGAATATGTCAGCCGTGCCGACACAGTGGAAAGACATGCTCGGGAGACCAAATTTCTCGCGTCGTACGGCACGGGTCCATCGTTGTCGCTGTCCCACAAAACATCGTCGTGGTGAAAAATTGTGAAACTTCGTCCCCACGAGATACGACGCATAACTATTGGAGCACTTAACGACGCAGCAGTTCATGCTGTCAACCCAGCGCAACCACACCGCTCCGACTTCAATCCGTACCAATGTACGCGGCGTGGTCGCGTGGTTTCGTTTCGCTGGGGCTCTCACTGCTCTCACTGCCTACCATCGGTAACGGCCGCGCGGCGGCGCGCCGGTCGCGTCGCACGGAGTATATAGTGTAGGTGGAACGTTTAAGCACCAGTTCTCCAGGTGAACGCCAAAAGAACCAAGGAGTGAAAGATCTGTTAAAATGTTTCAAATATTCTTGTAAACCACCTTGCCTCCTCCAAGATCTAATATTCTACAGCCGAAGGCCCTCGTTAAATCTCCAACTTTGTTGCCCGCGTAGCATTTATGCTTCCTAGCACTGGTGACATAAGTAAGCTCAATAGACTTTGCAAAGACGGTGCGACCGGAAGTCGCTTTGAACGCGAGCGGCAGTTCATGTTTGTAAACAGCAAAAGTGTCTATACCAAATGATTGACGAAACAAATGCACTGTACCAAAACTTTTTATATATGAAAGGCTAGTGACGCCACTCCCCACGCCGCAAGCTGCCGTCGCTACGGCAGCTTGCGAATCAGTAACCTTTACCGGGAAAACGTGTGCGGCGAGCGCTACGTGCTTCACGTTATCAGCAGGAGCGCCTTATCACCAATTATCTAGTTCGGACGCTCGTTTTGTGCTTGTTCTTTATTGAAACGACTGTTGTGCTGTATGTTGTACGCGTGATGTATGCACTTTTCGCTGCAATCCCTGAAGGTTCTTTTGTTTTCCGTGAGGACGACGACATGATACAATTCTAGAAATCTGACCTATGAGTCATTTATTGGGCAGGAGATCGAACTATAGGGGGCGCTCTGACCCGTTTGTTTTCCCCACGCTCGGTGCTTACTCAACACAAGGCCTGTGCACATGCCGACAGGCCTTATGGGCATGTCCATGTCATCTTCTACAATAGAGCGCGGGACGCAGTTTAATGTAAAAAATACAAACAATTGCCAAAGCAACGTTAAGTGCCGGATCTTTCCTCAGAGAATGCGTGCTTGTCCCACTTCGGCTTTTGTGCTGAACTGGGACCGTGCATGCTGCATTCTTCATGCAGGCCTTAGTAAAACAAAAGAGCCCCTCCTCCCCCTCACCGGAGAACACGAACTCCAGCCGAACGCTGACGCCGCGTTCGGTTATGTCGGCCGAGCGCTGAATCATTGTGTTTGTTGTCCCCATCCGTGTAGTTCTAAAGTTAACCCCTTGAGGCGTCACGGTCTGCCCTCCTCCCCAATAGGTTCGCTGTAAAAAACACTGTATATATTGTTCGAGAGATGTGTAGGTGCTCACCTTTGCCTCCGCCATCAGGAAGCTCGAGCCAGGGGTCGAACAGGGTGATTCTGTTATCCAGGATCTTGGTGAAGGCGTACACAATGTGCGTGCACATGAATGGGTCTATCTGGTCGACGGCAAACGCACACTGCATCGGACGGTAGGCGGACCAGCTTCCCCAGTAGCACAGCATGATCTTTTCGTCCTTGGCTGGAAAGTGGTCGATCACGGAAACTCACCAAAGGCGACATCATATACGCTCTTCAATATTACATTATATTATCAAAGCAAAATATTAGAGTTTAACGTGCCAAACCAACGAAAGGCCTCTGGCACGCACCAGCGGAGGGCTGAGGAATATTTGGACGCTTTGCCTTGGAGACACTGGGGTGGCATATTTATATAAATGGTTTGAATAGAAAGCGGAGGTTGAAGTTCTACTTAGAGGCATTCATTTACCAACGTATCAATCGGGGACCGAATCATATCCTTGCCGGGTTTTATTGCTCATCTGACGGACCTTTACAACCCCCGAGCACCAAAGAAAGTCAAATAAAAAAAAGAAAAGAAGTAATAAAACAATTAGTAAGAAAATTATAAAACGCGGGCCTTATGCTGTTTGCTGCGTCCAATTGAATTTTGCCCAAACTCTCATTCATCCCGTGGGTGAATGATTTAAATTTATGGATAAAATATACCTCTCCCCACTTTCTTTCGCGACCGGAGCTGAACACAAATTGAAGAAGCACGACTGTTATTGCATCAAAAGTGTGATTCGGGAGCTTCATGTGTATAGAGAATAGAAGTCGTAAAAGAGAGTTGCGTGTGGTTTGTGATTGTTGAATCGCAGCCTTAAAGGGGTCTCGGTCTGGCCAACGTAGTGCACGTCGCAGAGGTTGCATCGCGACACGAAGATGACATTTTTCGAGTCGCAGTTGAGGGTTGTTGCATTCATTTTGAGCGAAAAATTTGATTTGGCGCTTTTAATCTCGTAGGTGCGTACTTTATGGTCGCAAACCTGGCACAGGGACTTTCCGCAAGGCTGGCAACCAAACGTTGGAGAAGCTGAGCTTTTGGAGTGCACCAATATGTTTTTTTAGGGTTTCTGTCTCGCCGGTAGACTACCCATGGTGGTTCCGGAAACAAGTTGCTAGGCCTGTCGCTCTGCTACAAGATCCTAAAGTATTTCCTTGATACGTTATTTAAATACGGAAGGCTGGCCGAATAGGTGACTACCACGTTGGCGTGTTAGTTTTTACGTACGGTGGGCCGAGGGTGGTTAATAAGTTGATGTCTATCCAGTGTGCGGACACTTTCGATGACCTTGTCAACCACTGCAAGAGGATAATTTTCCTCCAAGTACACCGTTTTTAATTCTTCTTTGTTTCGATCAAAATCAATCAAGTTGGAACAAATTAGTTTGAGTCTATGGGCTTGGGAGTGTGGAAAGTGTGGAAAAGAGTTTTGTTTCATTGGCTTGGTTTGCAATGTTTCGTGTGAGAACTGTTAAAGTCAAGGCACTGTTGGCGGTCTGTGCGTTTTCGGTAGAGTTTCGTTCAGAAGTTTTTGTCGTGAATTTTTATGGTTGCGTTTAAGAAATTTATGTCAGTTGCAGACTAACAAATGCGAAAATCGCATAATAGGATGAAAGGTGTCGAAATCAACAATAAATGTTAAATGTAATCTTTATAATATGGCCGCCTTGCTGTGCGGCCAAATTATAAAGATATCGTCAATATACCTTTTATAAACTAGTGGTTTAATAAACTATGTTAGACAAACCGAAACTCTAGATTGGCCTTAAAAAGATTCGCATAGTTTGGGGTCATCTTTGTGCCCATTGCCGCGCCCTAACCTGGAGATAGTGCTTCCCTTGAAATTCAAAGTTGTGTTATGAAACTAGTTTAATTAGTGTTGCAAGAACGTTACCGTTCACACCGTCGTTTCGTAGGCTTGTGTTATAGGCACTTAGTACTGCATCGACCGTCCGCTGAGAAATATTCGTGAAGTGGGCGTCCCTATACACGAGATTAAAAGCGCCAAATCAATTAACGCAAGTCTCAACTGTGATTCGGAAACTGTTATCTTTGTGTTGCGATGCAAGTTCTGCGACATGGACTACGTTGGCCAGACCGAGAACCCTTTCAAGCTGTGATTGGACAATCACGACTAACACGTCAACTCTCTTCCACACATTCCCCTTTCCAGACACATTAAACACTCGAATAACACTTTTGATGCGATAACAGACATGCTTCTTCAATCTAAGTTCAGCTCCGATCGCGATTGCTGATCTTTTATTATTATTAATATTTGTTTGTTTTATTTGACCTTCTTTGGTGCTCGGAGTGATGTACTGTTCCGTGAGATTAGCGATAAAACGGACGTATCCTAGCCGCGTGGGCTGGCGTGAACTCGATAAGGATAATTCCCGTTATTTATAAAACGTAGGTACGAACTCATCCTTAACCTTTTGAGCGGGCGCGCAATAGCTGGCATTCCCATCGAAACTTTCTTATTTACATATAGGTGCAGTAGAGGAATGTAAAGCAATGGGCCGCAAAAAGTTGATACAAATAAGGCGTGTATTAAGAGTTTATAAGAAGGAAGTTTCATATATGACGTCATGTTCAACTTCCTTCCTCAGTACACGCATTATTTCTATATATAAATTTTATATAGTCGTGGAAAACCCCTAAATCAGTAACTTACTAAGGGTAAAAGCTGAGCTAGTTGGTTCTGAGACTCAGCTTTTACCCTTAGTAAGTTACCTTTCTTGTTACCTGAGCACACCCTATGTTAGATGTCCCTAAATCAGTAAATTTCAGAACGTCCTGAAGCATGTGAAAAGCGGGGAGGGCGGGGGGGGGGGGGGGGGGGGAGCATTCAAATCATGACTTGTGCAGCAGGCATAAGGCGGCGATACGAAAACGTAGCCTCTCATCATCAACCGTCCTTATATTGAACGATTTAGGGTTTTTCATGAAGCTCCGAAAGCTTTCGATATGAATTATATCATTTACCAAATTTTAATTAGTAAATCGTAGATAAGTATTTTGCTTGACTGTATGTTTTTTTTCTTCTTTTTCTCAATTCGCAATGTCCGCTCTAGCTTGCAGTTCTTCCGAAAAGAGTTCTTCTCAAACTCTCTAATTTTAGGAATTTTTGAATGTCGTCTCTAAACACCCGCTATAAGATTAAATTAAATTCAGGGCATTTTTCTAGTCATCGAAACTTCAGTGATTTATAAATGAATTTTTATATAAATTAGTGTCCGAGTTTTTTGACGGGGCAGTGGGAATAATCACGGACACTTTGTACTCTGCAGTTTAATTACCCAAGCTGATATTAGAATAATGAGAAGAACAAAAAAAAAAATACATTTCACTTCGTGCTAATCAGTAGCGAATCGAAGTGTTTTGATTGGCCATTGAATAGCACAAAGTGTAATTTAATTTTTTTTTTGTTATTCTCGTATCAGCTTGGGTATCGCAATCTGCTCCTTCAGCCACCCTTGACGTTTCGTTGGCGCAAGATATTTATTGTCCTTGAACCTTATCGGTTCCATATCGCGTGCCTTTGAAGGACACGAAATATCCAACACATGACGTTCGAGGATGTTAAACATCCCGTTCCAAAGAAACGTCAAGGGTCTCTGAAGGAGCAGATTGCGAGTGACTGCTAACCGATATGATAGCGACGAAACATCTTTGGCTGGCTCAGGGGATTTCTTTTTAATATCAGTTTCGGTGTCAAGATGGATAGGCAGTCTATACTGCCAACTGAATAGCGTGAAGCACGTTTCATTCCTGACCAATAGAAACTTGCGTGTGCCAGTTAAGCGAATAATTAACAAAACAATTACGCGAGCCTGATCATGCCGACAGAGATCAGGGAGAACATAATGTGTACAGCGGAAAGTACCAGCTAGCAGGTCCACCTCGTAGAGATCGACTTCACGTGGTCACGTCACGTTAACCTCCTCGCGAAATTTTTTGCCGGTGAATTGACATCACGTGACAAATTTTCTGGCTAAATTTAGCGAAGAAACCACTGTGTCGATTCTTTGTGGAGGTTTTATTACTTTTTTTCCTTCGTGAATTCGGCTGAGAACACATTCTGTGTTAATAGTGTATGCTAACTTTATACCGAGTAGATATAGAGAATGTACAGTATGTTTTGAGCTGCGCTTGGTTAGCGTGACATGGACGCGGTAACACGTGACGCCGTGACGTCATAATGTCACGTGACAACCGTCACGCTGATGACGTCGCACAAACACCTTATTCGCTAAACGTAGCGGGACGAAAGTTCGCTAAATTTGGCCGGCGTGTGACGGTTTTGTTGTGTCGTCACACTTTCCTCGGGGATCTGAGTGGGATCTTAAAGGCCGACGTACACTTCGCGCTTTCCACTTTTTCCCTCTCCCCAACTTGGCTGCGCTCGCAGCTTAGGAGAGGGGAGCGCTACGTCTTCTAGGACTGACATAGGACTTACACCTCTCGATTCTAGACGCGCTGTAGAACGACTTGAGCTTTTACACTCTCCAGAAAAAGGTATATTCTTACACCCTTTGCCCGATATACGATACCCCAAAACCTCAGTTAGACGTACAGCGCACTGACATCAAACAGACGGCCCCAACGTTTACGAGGGGCTTAAAAACGGTGATATATACGTAATTAAACAGCTAAATTAAGTATCAAAGACTACAGAAAAAAAAAGCACTGAAGTTTCGCAGTAGTGCTAAAAAAAACTACTACTTTTTTATGTTAGTAACACGTACATTACCTATTATAATAAGCTGTACCACTGGGCTATCAAGCCTCTCGTGAAAGTGTGTACGTCGATTCGACGTCAGGGGGTGGGGGGCACGCTGTACGTCCAACTGAGGTTTTGGGGTATCGTATATCGGGCAAAGAATGTAAGAATATAACTTTTTTTCTTTTTTTTTTTTTTGAGAGTGCACACAAAATAGTGAATAGTAAATGCGCACTTAATCGGGAAGAATAGGTTGATTTTGTTACTCAATCATGCAATCGAAACTTCCATCCTTTAAATCTTGTACCGTACAGAGCCCACCTTTACTGTTTTAAATATAATTTTTTTCCTCGAACGATAGAAAACTGGAACAATATAAATGGGTCAGTCCGTTATCTAGATTCTGATAGATTTATATTAGAAATACAATAGGTTCGTTGGTATGGTGCCTGTGACTCTACTAGTGAAGTGTATGTGATTTTTCCTGCGCTCTTTTTCAACTATATTGCATTTTTTCGCGGCTTTCTTAGTTCTACTGGGTGTGTACATCTTTAATTTTTTGCCTTTCTGGATTCATATGTATGTTTTCTTTCCTCTCCTGCGACTACCTTATCAATTCGACAAAAACCCCGAGACTGGGACAAAAAGGGACGAACAAACACAAAGTCTTTGAGACTTTGTGTTTGTCCGTCCCTTTTTGTCCCAGTCTCGGGGTTTTTGTCGAAATGTTTAACCACCACCAGCTCGTTTGCGCCCTTACCTTTTGTTTACCTTATCAAAATCGCAGAATTGTAAAAAAAAAAAAAAAGTTATAATACATAAGGGGATTGTCTTCCCTGCAAGAAACCGAGTTGGTACGTCGGCGTTTAAACAAATGATGTATTAATATAAATTTATTAGTGAATTGTAGGTAATTAGTTCGCTCGCTGTCGCGTCACTCTTGCCCTAATGAGCGCCGCGGTCTTTAACGTTTCTCTGAATTGAGCGTTGTCATCGTCATCACTATCTTCCGTTTTTTTTTATGTGCTCACAAACAGCTAAGATTTTTTAGGAGCATTTCAAAAGAATTTTTACTCGAAACAAAACGCGTAGTGGTTTCTCACAGTATGGAAGACCCATATGCATCGCGGCAGATTATGTGGGGGGGAATCCCACTTGGGCAAGACGCAGTGCATTTTAAGCGTGGGAACAGAAGGAAAGTGTATTGATTTCCTTGCCCCAAGTAGTTTTGTCTTGTCCGCGACAACTCCTGCGCAGCCGCCTTAAACTGCCTAGCTTGGATGGGTCTGTCATGCTGATGAAGACCACAATCTGAATCGGAGCGTGTGAAGAACTGATATGCGTACCTTGGCTTCCGCATACCGTGAGAGACAGTGCTGCGCACAGTAACACGGCAACGCAGGTCCGAGTCGTATTCATAATTTCCAGCGTCCTGCGAAAACCATACGTGAATGTTGTAGACGTTCGGGAAATTTGTCGTCATCTATTTCGCATGGCCACGCGACCCAGAAGAGGCTTTCCGATGGCTATTGCCGTCGAAATGGCTTTCAAATGAGTACTTTGAAACAAGTCATGCACTCTATAAAGATTGCAGTGCTGTTGTTGTAGTAATGTTGAGTCATAGTTGATTTCTTTCTACTTTTAGCCAAGATAAAAGTCTTAAGTATAGCGTTGCAATTCAAACAAATGTTGAATTCGAAAATGACTTTGGCTGGATCAAGTTTTATTAAGCCAATTTTAAATTCTCCAATAACAAAAGAGAAATAGATTTTCACACTGCGTTTATTTGAACAAGTAATAACTATAGTTTTGATACACTGTCTTCTTTTGCATCATAAAACGCGACAATTAATCCTAGCAGGCCTTGGTTTCTTTGTCGGAAAACAAGCTAAATTTCTCGTGCAAAAGAAGTTATCTATTTAATTTACACTTTAGTTTTGTTTTGTATAACAGACGTGATACTTCGAGAAATCTAATGTTACTTTTGGTTCAAACTGGGTTTGATTTTTCTCCTTAATTCACTAAACGTAAATCGCTTTATCAATAAAAAAGGAACAAGGGAAGGAAGAGAAGAAGAAATTATTTAGTATTTTGCGGAATATGCGCCGTAAAAACTTGTCGTTGCTCGCCTCGTGCGTTTGTTTACACCCAAAACGTTTTTTTTTTGTTTCATCTGACCTTAACATGACGGGTGCGCTTTCCTGCTTGGTCATCGCGCGTTCTTAATGTTACCCTTCGATCGGCCTGTTCCTGCTTGGATTCCGATACGCCGAAGATGCAATTTGGAACACTTGTTCACCGTATAGTCCGCACCAGGCAAAGCATATTTCGGTTGAAATGGCCATGCATATTTTGGTACGCAATGCATATTTCGGTTGAAAAAGAAAGATCTTCCTTAGATAATCCGCAACTTTTACACCCGCACACGGTGCATAGTTTCTTCTGGTGCCTAGTCCTCATAAAGAAAAAAAGTGTAAATCTCATACAAAGCACACCCTTAAACATGCCTGCTGCATTTGGTCACAAAACAGCTTCTATTGTAGATAAACCATCATCAACCTACTATGTCATTCAGCAAATCCGTGACGTTTCATAATGAACGCCCTATAGAAAAACAAAATCCCCGTATTATTCGCACGGGTAGATTGTCCACACCGAATAAAATAGAAACTTTTAAACGTGTATAATCCGCGAAAATGCGATGCTTTAGGGCAACTGTTATAAAATATATTCTGAAGCCGTTGACGAAAATTTTCAAACCAAGGAGTTGTACTTACTACTGTACCCGTCGTCGATAGTCTCGGGTTCACGATATTACACGACTTACGCGGCAGGTTTCTCTGACCTAGATTGTTAAGTGGGAGACCATGACGTACCGGACAAAGAGAGCACTCGATCCGATAGCCGCTCCAGAGATAGCCTTGCCGATGCAGCGTTTCCTGTGTTATCAGCATCGCGATGTAGCAAAGAATCTGGTGTATCCTGGCGCACCAGCTACGGAGGCCACGGTCCACCTTATCACGATGTTGCACGCGTAAACGTAATAGGGACTGGTACGTTAGATCAATTCATCGCGTAGGTATTATATGTCAAATCTACATTGAGTTAAAAAAAAAATGAGGCGACACGAATTTCATGATTACGATTTATTCTTGGTGCCATGTTTTTGTAGTGTATACTGCGCATGTGGGCAGGTTACCCGGTGGATGCGGGAAATTTTCTCTGCAGTTAAAATAGAGCCGAAAGGTGAGTTTTAAGCTCAGGTGACTGGCTAAGGTGTGGACAAGGAAGTGCACTGTCGCGGTCACATGGCTCGCACATTTTACAAAAGACAGCCTGAGGCGTGATTCTTTTTGTATGACAGTCCTGTCACATTTGTCATAAGCATACACTGAGGCGTGTCTCTTTTCGTGTGACAGTATTGTCATATTGGTCATCAAAAACCTCTGTAGGCATGTTCCTAGCATACTCATGTATAAACCCCACATGCATTGGAACATGCTGAAGGTTGTAGACGATTTTGTTGTCATGTGTACGCAGCAAATCTTTTTTTTTTTTTTTTTTTGCATAACCTACGAGTGGCGCGATTGCGTCAAACTTAATATTCTCGGTGTCACTTCAAAGGGAAAAAAAAGTTTTGCAAACTGTTCATACACCGAGCAAATTATTTCTTACAAGTGTTGGTTGTCGAAGGAAGTTAAGCGATGCTTTTTGGCGTTTGGAGTGCGTGTATACGTCTTGATAACATAACGTACGTACATTTAATCTAAATACACCTGCATATATCTTGATTCTCCGTGTAAAGAGGGAAATTAGTAATGCTCCACGAGAAGCCGGACCCCTTTTTTTACGGTTTTTGAGGTAAAAACAAGTATAGATTAGGTCAATTGTGGAACTTACGCTGAGGGGGGTACCCCACTACCCTCGCCCCCTCAGTCCATCTCACGTCGTTTGAAGTGGCATCTATATTTTTGTTTCAAAACTGTGTGTTCCGTAGCATGGTCTCCGAGATTTTTCGCGCGCCGGGCTCTTCGGACGCTGTTTCATTAGCCGGGAAAGTCTGAAAAAATGCATGCATTTTGCTTTGCTTTTTTTTTGTTATCGGACCTTCTCGCTTGCTTGGGTAGCTTGGGCCTCTGGCGCCCAGGGAGCATCGGCGATATAGTCGTATCGTCACACGCGCACTAGTTGACGTATTCTCGGTCATTGCTCTCAAGGAGTATTGTTCCCAAACACCCGAAGAGCCCAAGTGTTAACGCATTGTAACACAAAGGGGCTGGATATTTTCTAAGCAGAAGCGTCGCCAGTTGAGAAAAGGAATGACGCGAGCTTTCTAAATTGTGTGCTTTCCCAACAAACGGGTGGCGATATTAGCTTGTAGGCTTAATCCCGAATAAACTTCCCAAGGGACGGCAGCGAGGCATACCGCGAGCGGCACCTGCTATGCTCGAGGACGCACGAAACGTTATAGGGATTTGACAACCCATTTGGAATTCACTCTTTATTCCGGTCGTTTGTTTTTCACAATTGTTGAAGCTTACGCGGTTGGACCTTGCTTGATGAAAGAACAAGAAGGCTGGGGATCTCCTTGTCCTGTCCTCTTCGGTTTTAAAATGTGTTGACTTCAATGGTAATGTGCCCTTCGCCTTGTAGCCTAAAGTCCTTTCATCCCTAAGGTGTCACTGCAGTGGAAGCTACGTGCTCGTTCGAACAGTCACACGTCTATCTTTTGTCACGTAAGCACGCTCTCGTTCATGCCCATGCGCGGAAAAAGTGATAAGTCAGGTGATTAAAGGGAGCTGTTTGATTGGTTCTGGTTAGCTCTCAGCTCCCGCCGCCCTGTCAGCTTAGTAATGACCAAAGTACAGTATCGTCGTGATAACGTGTCGCCGTGAATCTGTCTTGTCTGGAGTTCGTAAGCCGTGGCCTTCCAGCGATGTTTACATATCAGCTTTTATCCTTCGCCTTCCCAACCTGCCTTTGTGCGTCTGTTTAGTTATTTTTATGAGGCTTTGCATTAAGGTGGCAGTCATGTATTTTCTCTAATTTCTCTTCACAACATTTCACCATGCAAAATAAGTTTTTTCTTCTTTTTTTAAAACTTGCAAACGAACTTCTTAGTTTGGCACAAAAGTAATTTCAAAAGCAATGAGTAGTTTTTGTCGAAATTACTGCCTCAATGTAATTCATTACATTACTAAATTACCAGCCTAGAGAAGTAATTCATTACATTCCTGATTGCCACAAAAAGTAATTTAATTACTGTAATTTTATTACAGTAATGTCATTACTGTCACCTCTGATCGGAGTCAACATTCAAGTATAAAGGTGAAGCGTGGGGAAAAGCATGGCGTTACCCGACATGTTGAACGGCAAAGGCCAGGGTAAGTCAGAGCGAGAAACAAAAGCAAGAAGGATGCAACTTGGCAGCTGCAATCCTAAGCATAAACCAGAGACTAGATTCTCTGATGGAATTTAAAAAAAAAACCAATGTCTCGGCAATCGAACTCTCGGTGAACACGATGTCGGCATAGTACAACGAAATCCTAAAGCACCTGCGTCAACATGACAGCGAGATAAAGGGTTTAAGCCTTGAAAGCCGCCAGAAAAAGGTTAATGTGCAACAAATGGCGCAAGACATGAACACACTCGAGGGGCAATCGTGAAAGCTAAATCTCGAAGTACATGGAATTCCCGTCACTGAGCAAGAAAACCGTCACACTCAACTGACTCATTTGGCAAAGAAACTGGATGTGCCCATGCTCTTCGCGAATGAGATTGTGGCCTTGCACCGATTGCCAGCTAGACCAGATAAGATATACGGCATCATTGTTCGTTTTTCACAACCCTCAAATTGTGATATGTGGTTCGATAAAAGGAAAAAAGTCGACCGGAAGGCAAGGGATGGTTACCTTCTTGAGAATATGACAAGGAAATACCGTGCCTTCCTTTGGGCAACTAAAGAATGGGCGAAGGATCATGACTCCACTACTCGTGGCACAAGAATCGAAAGCTCTTCTTGAGGCGAAAAGGAGGCGGCGCAGTTGTTATCAATTGCGAGGCGGACCTGCAACGCCTGACCTGAGCAATTTTATCGCTCTCTTTTCTTGTGGACTTTTTCGAAATGGCGGAACAAACCTATTTTTTTGCATCTGAACGAAAGTCTTATCTAGGGAATGAGTATTTGGCTTCTTTTAAGCGCATTCATTTAAATACTTGATCCGCCCGAAATAAAACAGTTGAGCTTGGTTTTTTTTTTTTTTTTCGATGAGTTTTCCTTTTTGTTCGATGTTATTATGTTATCAGAGACGTGGTATACTGATGAAAGTTATGTTTTTCAGTTGCCGAAGTATAACAACTGTTCTTGAACAGGTAAACCGGTCTTGGAGTTTAGTGTGTGGTGTAAACGAATGCACACTTTGCTCTGACCAGAAAAAAAGAAATATGGGGGCAGGAAAAATCCTAAGGCATGAAGAGGTGGATAGTTGCTTTAACGCGCACTGATGGAGGGGTCACGTTGGAAAGTAAATAACTAAAGCAATAAAACGAGGGGAATTCTAATGTGTTTTAGAAACAAACTATGTGCACAGCTTGCGTGTAATGTATAATAATAATATCTCTTTAAGTTTTATTTTTGTTTCTAAACATTTCCACACATACCTCGTCGAACGACAAATGGCAATATTTGGAGGCCTGTATCTCATGAATTAATTTAATTGCCATCATATACTTTTCAGACAGTATTCTACTTAGATATGACTATTATTAAAAATATATATAAGGTATTTGAGTTATATGATAGTCGGTATATATTTAGGAAAACTTAGGGAAAAAATCAAACCACGAAAAATTCCGATGCGAAAAAAAAAAAAAAGCATCACCTTCGATATTTTTTTGTTTTGATTTGGGTACCCTGTCATACTATATTTTGGCATTCATTTCTATTAAAAATATATTGCATTATTTTATTGAGAAAGAAAACACAACTCCCCAAAGTAGGTTTCTTTTTCAAAGCCTACACTTAGCAATGCCCTGTACGAGAAGTGACTCTGGGTTCCAGTTTCAGCAAACTAACACACATCTTTCATATATTTTTATTCGGATGAGGTCATTGACAACTAGAGCAGTTCGTCACACAGTAAAAGTAAGGAGAAACTACATACAGCATTTTACACACAACGTACAAAGAGGTATCATATTAGAGACTAGTGATTCGAGAAAATATGATGCAGCGAAGTTTCACTTTGTGGTATATTTTATATTTATAACAAAAGCAATAACTTTACTTCCACACACAAAAATAAAGATAGAGTACTAAAATTGTTTAGGTTAGCTATGTATTTCCAGAAACAAACCTTTTCATGTGAGGGGTGCCACCGCGTCGGACTGTAAAAGTTTCGATACTCTCGGTGTACGAATGGGTCGTTGCAAGACGAGATATTTTATCCTGCGCGAGGATAACATTTCGTGATTCTCATATGGTAATCAGATAAAGATTATAAGCTATCACCAAGTAAAACGGTAGGTTAAATACCCCGCGAAAAAAAACTGAGGTAAATAAGATTTCCCAGCATTCAAAATGAGGAGTCCTTGGGGAATCAAATTCGGCACTTTACGCTAAGGCTTTCCTTGATGTACCCATTTAGTAGTTTCTTCTAACCAAGTACGACTGTCTGTGCTACATATATGTCCCAAGTTCCTTCTGTTGATCACCTGCACAGCCACCACGCGTGCCAAGACTGAATGCCAGGAAAGGCGCGCACCGTCAGCCACTTTTCTTTTTTTTTTCTTTTTTTGTTGTTGTTGACAATACCGAACAACCTCATTTTCGTTAAGGTAAACAAGATGCACCAAGTTTCTCAGATAGAACGCTCACCATTGTCCTATCCGTGTGAATTGCGTTTATTAAACGTTCTCTTACGTGGTTCAGCGTGGCCTGGTGCTTCACGAGTCCGCCAACTCCGTCGCATGTAT